TGAAGTGGTTAACCCTTGGTTTTGCTCAAGTTGGAAGGTTTTAGTATTACAGGGCCCAGATTCTGCCATTAGGTTACTGATTAATGTTAAATACCACATTCTATTCAAATTACTTCTGTATGTGTACAAATGGAGTGGCTCCTCCTTAACGAACCTATCAGGACAGGGCTTGACTCTACAGCCAATAAATCTCGTATGTACTTGTGGTGGGAAAAGAAATCAAATCTGGATTTTTGGTTATCCGGTTTAATTCTACAGTCCGGTTTTGAATTTTGAAACTGGTAATCCAAAAACAAAAACAAGCGACTAACATTTACCAGAACAATTATTGTCTTTGATCGATACAGGAAAAAGAGGGTATTCCATTCGATAGGGTGAAACCACAACAGACTGGCTGCTTGTAAGCACAAACACACCGAATCCCCCTTTCCCATGTGTCATAAATTCCAAATTATCCAATGTCACAACCACAGTTATGGGACTTTCAGAAACCAACAAAGTTAAGTTTAGCTACAGCTTAGTGCTCATCATGAGCAAGACCCTTTGCACACACACGGCTTTGACACGTGCCTGTGAAAAGCTCACATGTTATTACCAGTAGTTGTTCTAGGCAAATGGGCAGTACAAGCATGAAGCTGAAAGGGCAGTAACATGAAAAGAGCTGTCAATCACAAGAATTAAAAGATGTGAGAATGAGCCAAAATTCACAAATTTTGCTGTCGGTGGTTGGTATGATGCTGACCAGAAACCGGAGACATTTTCTTTTGCCTAAGGGCATTCATTTCATGAGGTGATGCTATGCAACACTGAAGAACCAATTATTTTCTCCCATGTACTTGGCCCCCACCCACTATTTCACATAAATGTGGTCATGAATGTTGGTCCCTAAAGTCACATTTACCCAAGATTTCCATCAGTGTTGCTTTGCCAGTACATTTTTGTAAATTTTTTTAAATGTAATGTTCAACATACTGTGAACAATGATTTCAATGTTGACGTTATTTTAGTTACAACCATGACACATCTGAACTATGCAAATTACATGTAAAAGACACTGTGATATGTTTTTGGGGAGTTCAAATAATACATGTATTTACCCACAAAGTCCACAGTTATTGGCGCAAATAGCCTGAGTAGCTGAGAGCACCATTAAAACAAAACAACACAATTGTAGAACCTGCTCCGACTGCCCTTAATGCTGGAAAAACTCCAAAATCTTTATGCAGCTTTCAAAAGGTCAACAAAAAAAATGGATAACGGATAGTAGCTTATTAAAAATTTGGTTAACCGGTTTTAAAAATCTTTGATTTCTCCCACCGCTAGCATGTATCCATAAATATAAAGACCATAGGTGATGAAGCATTCTCCATTGTTAGACATTGTTAGTTGGGAGACAACTTTGTTGCTTTGGGAAAATGGTAAATGCGGTTCAGTTGAACTTTGCTATATGGCAATCATCATGATTTGGCTGATTTCAGTAGATTTTGGTAAAAATTTATTGTACTAGGTTGAAGCCATCACGTAGGCATAGTTGATTTTGCCAAAAAAGAGGAACTGTAAAAAAACTTGATTTGGGGCCACTTTGTCTCTTTGTGGAAATGGTGACGATATATGAAAAGTTAATTTGAAATGGCTTTCCACTTCCCTCATCTCTCATAGTCATACTTCTCCTCTACCCTCCTGGGATCTCATCAAGCTTTTTATCAGAGCCAATGCCATCCAGACTGGCTCTGCCTTCAATTCCCCGTGGATTGTCTCAGAAGACCTCTTCACAAAGTTCAACCTCGTCAATAAATATGATGACCTGAGCCTCAGTCCTTACAAGGTTAGAATTCTCCGTACTGAAAATGTCCAATTCATTTACCTATTGAGACCAATTCACTTACCCATTGGATCCAATTCACATACCAATTGGATCCAATTCACTAATAACCAATTCCAAAACCAATTGCTTTTGCTTGGAATCAATCGGAATCCAGTTGGGTTCAATTGGTTTGAATAGTAAGTTCGGACCTTTTCTCAGTTGACCAATTGACACCATTTGAATGCCAATTCACAATTCAATTGTAACCAACAGAAGAACCAGTTGAAACCATTTCAATGCCAGTTCAAACCAATTGAGTCCCATTTGAAAAATCCATTTGATGGGGGGAAACAAGCTGAAAGCAAACATATTGAAACCAGTTGCACCCCATTTGAAATCTCCAATTAATATGGGAAAACAAATGGGAGAGAAAACATACCAACTGAGCACCAGTTGACTGCAAATTGGACCCGATTCATTCCAATTAAATCCAATTCAAAGATCAATTCATTTTGATAGGCCATTTTTAGTGGGGCTCTCTGGTGCATTGTCTAACTAGTTTTCTTCAGAATCATATGTTGTTGCCAGTGACTTCGAGTGCTCTTTCCAGTTAAACTAGCTAATGAAACTTGTAGATTGCATGGAGTAGAATTATATTTCGCTCCAGTCATCAAGACTCACTTTGTATTATTGTTCTCCATATTGTACGTAAAATGGTCTGAACCACCCTTTGAGAAATACGGAACATCCCATCATTGATAAAAATGCGAATAAGCCCCACCTACAGCCTACTGGATACACCCCAGACCCACTGAAGTGTGTCTTTGTTTTGTGTGGTACAGTCTGAAACAGTCGCATGTAGTCCACACTCCACTCTCCATACATTGTATATGCACTCATGCTTCAAATGTCGTCTAGCAAGAAAGTCCAGTTGTCCACGGCACAAATGACAGCAGTTCTTTAGGACTAATCCACCTCAAGTGCTTCTCATGTTGGAGATACCAGTTTTTGGGTGGTTGTTGGTTTCGACCCCGCCTTGGGTCGACTAACCCTGCAGGGAAAAAGCTCCCGCCTTGCCTCGGGCAGGAATTCATCACACTCACCTGCGCGATCCACAGCCTGAAGCAGTGAATGATGTTGAAGTTGTGGCCTCTCCTTGCCACATACCCCACATACAGAATTGGCACCAACTTCTGCTTCGGTTACCCAGTCTTGTACTATTAGTGGTTCGTCACCACTATATCAAAGCTTAATTACATTTGGCCAGAACGGTGTATTAATTACGATATCAAACTGCTGTGACTCCGGGATTCTTTTAATGAAGGAGCATCCAAATCTATTACTTTTCAGCGGGGGCGGGAGGAGAAATAAATTGACCAGTGATTAGAAAATCTAAGTCTCTATCTAGTTTCCTTGCATTTCTTTGACTTTGCCTCAATTTCTGGATTTTGTCGGGTGCTTGATGTAGTCTTGTGCATTGTATTTGGAAGCCCCGTTATCTGGTTAATAGGCAGTGTCCCCGGCTCTTGGGCACGCCTTTTATCTGGTGACCAGGCAGTGTCCTCGGCAGTGGTGGGTCTGAGCCCTTACGAGTTACTATTTCTGGCTTACCCCAGTAGTTGGGTGGAAAGTGGAGGAATAAGGGCCATGGTTATTGGACGCTGTCCTTGCTTGAAGTGGTCACAGGTTGGGTGCTGCTATACAGAAAGTACAACCTGGACTGGAGAATTTCAGCACTGTAAAATTCTGCCGAGCTGATGAAAGTTGGCGATCATCAAATGATCACAAGGAACTTGCAGACTCAGCTGAACCCTGGTCACAGTCAGTATTCACCTCAACCTTTCCAAAATTCTCTCACTCACTTTCTCCCTGACCGTTTCCTGTCGATCTTGTCTGCTGCCCTTATTTTTCTTATTACTCTACGAAAACCCCAAGGCCCGTTTTACACCTATAACCATTGGCCGGACAATACTGAGATTATATAACTCAACCCCCTTTGACAATACTGGACGACGCAAAGCGTAAACTATTATCTCGACATCCACAACTCTGATTGGTGGTGACTCATCTTCGCTGGATGAACGATGATTGGGTAAAACTTTGTATACGTCATTCACGGAGAGTAAACTATACAATGCAATATGTACACGTACAGCAAACCCGGTTGTGTTCGCTGGAACGTGATTGTGACAGGGTTTAACCTTGCCTTCGGTTGTCCTATCTCCGTCAGGCCCCCCCAGGCAATAATTTTCCAAAAGCCCCACCAGCCATTTTTTAATATACCTGCCATGTCTTCCGACACGAGAGGGCAGCATTCCAACATGGCTACTTCCATGCAACTGCCATTTTACGGTAGGTCGCCGTACATGTTTGGGTTTCCTGCCATCCAGCAGTGGATTCCTTCTCAACAACAGCAACTGCCGTTAGTTCCGTTGCCCAACGGCCCCTCCCAAGTCCGGTACCTTTGGACATGAACAGTAAGCCAATTCCGCAAATGTTGATTTGGATTCGGCATCCAACGTGGTCGATGATGATTCCTGCATCCCAGAAAAAAAAAGGCTTTTGCAACCCACACCGTAAGTCAGTTGGTACTTCAGTTACTGACAAAGTCTTGTCATGATGGGAGGATGATGATCAAACAAACTTGGCCATGAGGAAATAAAGGAAGAATTGGCCAACAATCTCATGCCAGCCAAGCAAGAGTTCTTCAAGGATCTGGAAATTCCCAGCCAGGTGAGATCTACATGTACCTTTAAAGGAGCTCATTCTTCCTTGGTTGCACAAGATGACTGACTGAAAGATGTCCATGGTCATCTCCTGAAATCAGTACTGCCTTTGGTTTTTGATGCCCTTGTTGATTTATCCTGCCCCAATAATGTTGACAAATCTATGGTTAAAAATCATGTCACCTCGGCTTTGATTCTTTTGGTTCTGCAAGTCAGAGCCTCGCCTTTGCTTGAGTCACTGAAGAGGAAAGCACCTTCCATGGAGTTTTTGGCGATCTGCGAAGCAAATTCGAGCCTGTGTAATACCAATTTCCATCTTCTGTCCATCGTTGGGCCATCTGTCCATCCAATGGCCATCCTCAAATGTTAAGGTTTTTCTTTGCAGGTACATAGGTTTAAAAGTGTACCATTGAGTGCTTATTTGCTTCCTCTTGGAATTCTATCAGTAGTTAAATAGTCTCATATGGCATTGGTGATTAAAACCTATGAATTTATACAATGTAATGAAAAAATTATAAAAGTTGAATGTTTACATTTGAGTTGTATTGTGTCCTTACCCTGTAGTACATGTACAGAGAGACAGCCAGAGTAGGAAGTGAAGGGAATGATGGGCAGGGGGTAGAGCAGGAGATGGATAGGAAAATGGCGAGGGGACGGAGTAGGAAATGGATAGGATGATGGAAGGGGGCGGAGTAGGAAATGGATAGGATGATGGAAGGGGGCGGAGTAGGAAATGGATAGGATGATGGAAGGGGGCGGAGTAGGAAATGGATAGGATGATGGAAGGGGGCGGGGTAGGAAANAGGGGGCGGAGTAGGAAATGGATAGGATGATGGAAGGGGGCGGAGTAGGAAATGGATAGGATGATGGCGGGGTGGGTGGGATATGAATGGAAAGATAAGGTGGATGTGGAGTTGGAAATACATGTAGATAGGATTAGGGGGGTTCAGAGTAGACATGGTAGATATGGGATGATGACGGGGGTAGAATTGTAGAGAAAAGGATGATGGGATTGGATACAAAGTACAAAAGTGTACTTAAGAGGAATTTTATTTAACATGTATGCACATCCATCAAATTCACAAATACACTGCTTATCCCCATGTAGGCATCCAGGTCTAGTCTGACTGTACTGGAGACACATTCTTTAGACATTCCTCTGTCCTGTAAAGAACTGTGAAGCTTTTGTATGTGTATCTCCCTCGTTGGTGGTCTTTGTTGGTTTACTTTGAAATGGCAGGCGCCTTTCAACACACAGTCTGCACACAGCACTAACTAGGTTTTTTCTCCTGGAGTGTAGATGTATCTTGTGCGTCTGTATTGTATTATGTCAACCAATCTTGTAAAAAAATTTTATGAAGCTTGGTTAGTATTTTCTTCAGGGTTCTCCCCAGGATGTTTCAAAACTTGTGGGGAATTTCCATCATGGTTTATCAACATTTTGCGAAGCCATGGCGTGGGGTTCGGGGCCTGCCCAAGGGCCCCGAAAACTTTTGGACTTTAGATGCTCTCAGCTGCTTTTTAGAGCATTTCCTGGGCTTTTCAAGTACCTTTTCTCAGGGAAAAAACATAAGAGATTCAATTTTGTTGTTGTTGTAATTTTGGATATTTTAAAAACATGAAACAACATGTAGCGGCTGTATTAATCATTGATTTAAACACCCATTTATTCACTTTTAATTTTAATACATGCTTCAACCTTTGGTTTTTGCTCATCAGACCTTCCTTTGCTGGCGCCTTCCATGCACGTGCTGCAAATGGCTGCTTTGTCTGCCTTTGGGTTCCCTCAGCGCCGACTGCTGATGTTATTGGCTTAAAAAAAGAGCCTATCTTTGATTGAGTTTCTGTCATTGTACGCGAGACAAAAAGCAGTGAAATGGCAATGAGAAATGTTGTCCCTGTCGTAGATGCCATTAATACTAATACAGAGGGCTACAGCTGCCGCCATGAACAAAAACGTGTGTGGGGTCAATGTTGTAAGTTCTGTGAATGGTGTAGTATAAAATTTTAACCCTCGTAAATGCAGCCCCACTAGCGTATTGAGCACATGGCACAGAAATAACACACAAGCGTGCAGGTGCATGTATGCTGCCCATGACGGAAATTCAGATTTCATGCGACACTGGCCATGAGGAACATTCGGTGCCGATGTATATGTACGGTGTGCAGTGTGGCCGCCGATGCATGGTGCACAGTGCATGTACATGTACATGTACTATGTAGGCTACCTATAGTATGTACATGTACACGGAAAAATGCAGGACTATTAACTGCTTTTTCGTCTAGATTTTCCTTACATGCAATCTGCATTATGTAAGATAATTCTGAGCCATACTATCATAATTATATTGTGCGTATCGGGGATGAAAAAATGGGTATCGGCCTGTTTTTTTTGCGTATCGGGCAGAAATAATTGCGTATCGGGCCCGATACGCAAGTTTGTACTTGGGGAGAGCCCTGTTCTTGTTTAATTTAGTACCCATAAATTGGATGTCTCTTAACTTACGTGTAAGCTGTTATTACAGGAAAGAAATTCAAATTCATAACAAGCAGCGAGCCATGGTAACTTTGCCATTCTCGTGCTTTGGAGGAAACCTTGTAAAAGACATAGAGGAGGCTGAGAGAGCCAGTAAGTTGGCAACTAAGGTCACAAAAGGGGCTTCTTCGTCAAGGCTTTCCTCCAGAGGAGGAAGGTTTTCTCATAGTACTTGGTGGTTAACAGGCAATTCCAAGGGTCACACTCTTTTCGCAGTGGGCACTCAGGTGGTATTCTGTCCAGCTTTGGGAATTTCAAGCAGCCCAAAGCCACCCACACCAGTGAAGAAAGGTCAAGACAGTACATTGTTTACCTCAGACAGGTGGTCGCATGTTTTTTGTTCGTCACTAGAGAACTCTCACTCTGGACTGTTGGGTTCCTCAGACTGTTCAAGTTCACAAAATAGATTTGCTTCAGCCGCCATTTCAGTCACCTGAAAGAGTACCGATCACTTGTTTCATTTCTTCAAATCAAGAGGAGATTGAAGATGCAGAAGCTGAGAAGTTGTTACAGAAAGGCGCTGTTGAACTGGAAGCGCGTGTGAGTGGATGGCCGATTTATTTCTTACCTATATTTAATCCCCAGGAAGTCCTGCCTATAATAAACCTACAATAATCTTCTAAATGTGCTCATAGTTTATCACCACTTCAAGATGGAGGGAATAAAATTGGTAAAGGATCTGTTACATCAATGGGATTTTCTGGGGTCAACAGACCTGAAGAATGCATACTTCATGATACCAATTCACAAGGATCATCGCTAGTATCAGATATTCCAGTTTGCTTGCCTTCCATTCAGTCTATTCAGTGCTCCCAACATTCACAAAAGTCACAAAAGGAATTCATTGTTAACATGTATTTACATGTACATTGTATCTAGATGACATTGTGATTCTCGGCAAATCTTCCGATGAATGTGGGAGCAATTTGACGACAGCCAACCTTCTTCAGCTGCTAGGATTTGTGATAAATCATTACAAGTTGCAGTTTATTTCATCAGAACAGGTGCCATATCTCGGCTTCCTCATCAATTTCAGAAGCATGAGTCTGTCTCTGCCAGCAGAGAAAGTACATGTACTCAGTGTTATCAACCACTGCCAAGAAGTGTTAGAACTAGAAGTTTTAACATTGCAGGATCTGGCGAAACAGTTTGGGTTTCTGTCATTGACCATCCAAGCGATTCCCCTCACCACTACTTTATTGTCACTTTCAGTGGGACAAAAAACACAGCCCTTCATAGGCAACATTCCTCCAAGACTCAGGTGACTCTGTCACATGCATCTTGACTAGAACTGGAAACATGGGAACTTTGCATCAAGTGCTGGAATGGTCAGGCTGTGCTGGACCCAGTTCCCGACATCACCATCCAAATAGATGCATCACTCCAAGATTGGGGTGTTTGTTTGGGAGAGAAACAACGCGGGGGCCGCTGGTCAATCCAGGAATAATCTCTACACATCAATCATCTGGAGTTGCTCTCTTTTTCATGCTCTTTGGTCATTGGTAAGCCATCACCAAAACTTATTCATTCAATATGATAGCCCTATCATACATCAATCACAAGGAGAGTACACATCCCCCAGAACTGTCCAACATAGCTGTAGAATTGTGGACATGGTACCTAGCAAGAAACATTTACTGGAGAATATCTGCCAGGGCCGGAGAACACAGCAGCGGACGAGTTATGTATCTTGGCTGTTCAACAATAGAACAGAATTTTGTTCGCAAAATTGGTTCAAGTGATGGGCATCCAGCTATCAGTTGATCTATTTGCATCACGTCTCAACAGTCAACTCCCAAAGTATGTGTCATGGTATCAGGATCCTCTGGCATGGTGAGTAGATGCTTTCGCAATCAACCTGGGTGTATACATGTACCTGTTTCCTCCATTTACTGTTCTCCCATATGCTCTCATAAGATATCATTAGACAAGGCCACAGTTCTTCTCGTACCGCTTGTGTGGAAAACAGCTTTGGTGCTCTCGCTTACTGGAACTTGCTGTACGGTGTCTGGTCTTACTCTCCCGTCAACCTGACATTCTGTCACTGTTTTACAACAGTCAGGGTCATCCAATGGTGAAGACCTTACAATTACTGTAGCAGGGCGGATGCTATCATGCGATCCCTCTCAGCAAGAGATTTCAGATGGAGTTTCCTCGATCATGTTGTCCTCTTGGAGCCAGGGGACAAATGCTCAATTCAACTCTGTATGGAACAGCTGGTGTGTTCTGCGATGCATTAATTCAGTTCAAGCATCTTTAGCTGATATCCTTGAATTTCTTCTTAGTTTCTTGGATAAAGGTCAACAATATCGAACACTGAATGTTCAGCGATTAGCACTTTCATCCGCTTATGATCCCATTGATGGCACTCCTGTTGGTCAACACACATTGATAACAAGATTTTTAAAAGTTGTCTTCAATGCCTGTCCTCCACAATCCGAGTACAGGGAAAAGGTCAACTTTGGACACAGGGACAGTTCTAAGGTATCTTCATTCCCTTCCTGCAAGCAGAAAGTTGCCTTTGCGCTGACTGACACTGAAATTGTACAATTACTTGAGCTACATGTAGTCACAGCGGGGCATGTTTGTCTCTTTCAGCATTTGATCTGTGATTTATGCAGAAGACTTCCAGTGGTAACACTTTTTCTCCAACTCTACCATCCAAATCTTTTACTGCATCTAAACCAGATTGTCAGATGGTTGCTGTACAAAGTTATTCACCCGACAGCAGACTTTGTGTTATTAAAACACTTGATGAGTATCTTAAGTGAACAAAATCCCTCCGAGTCACGGGAATGACAAAGGTGACAAGCTTGTTTTTGTCCTTTGTGAAGCCTTTCCTGGCTGTGGTGTCTTCAACCATTGCCAGATGGTTAAAAGCAGTTACAGCCTTGGCAGGTATAGATGTCTCCTGCTTTCAAGCTCATTCCAGCAGGAGTTCTGCTACTTCAGTTGCAGTTCGATCAGGGTTCTCCACAGCACAGGTTTTGCGAGCGGTTGAGTAGTCTGCTGCTAGCACATTCAGGAAATTCTACCACCATGATGTGGCCCCCTGAAGTATACAAACTGAGTCTTGACAACAAGGGCGATATATAATTTCCAATTATGTAAAGGTTCTCACCTGCCATGTAATTGGAATTATATGAGACCTAAGGAGGGGAGGCTCACTGTCCCTCCCAATGGTCTCAGAGATTTCTCTCTTTTACCCACCTATTTGAGCTTACCTCAGCCAGTTCCAATTACCTCTTGTCTTAAATACATGTACAAAGAGACATGCTTCAGTGAGTTTTAGGCTTATTTATTTGACTGAAGGTGGGGTGCATTTACATTTTTATCAATGAGGGGATGCTCCGTTTTTTTCAAAGGGTTGGTTCAGACCGTATTATGCAGGACAATAATACAAAATGAGTCTTTCCTGCTTAGGTCTCATATAATTCCAATTATATGGCAGGTGAGTACCTTTACATAATTGGAAATTTTATTGTATTTAAGGCATTGCTTGGATAAAATCTCTACTGTACTTTCCTTTCAGACCACCTATGAAACACCCAAAGTCCACAAAAGATCAGCCGAGGAAAGTCAGAGCACCACCAAATCCTCCAAAAAGCGGAAGTTGTCAGACCATTTCAACACTCCAAAGATGAAGCAGTCAACACTTCTGGACATGAGCTTCAAGTCAAAGTCAGCTCAGGTGGCCGGGCACCGGTCAGAGTCAGATGACCCTAATCAAATGCCCAGCCCAGAGAAAGTCCGCATGGACCACACTTACAGCTCCCCAATCGGCAAGTCTTTGCACAAGAATTCACCAAAACAATCTCCAAAAAAAGTGGTTGCCTCTAAGAAGGGTTCCCCTGAGGCAAAGAAGGCTCTTGGCAAAGCAACTTTGAAAAAAACCCAAAAGGAAGAAACATCTGCAAAGAAAAAGGACAATGCTGCCAAAGCCAGGGAAAAGAAGAGCACTCAGAAGTCTAAACCTGGCAGAGAGGAAGAAGCAAAAGCTAGAAAGACAAGGAAAACATCAATCAAGAAAAGCTCTATGGAAGATGAAGTTATTGATGTGGATATGATTCAGGATGGACCTTATATGGGTCAGAAAACCCCCTCAAAGAAGAAGCTGACTGACCACTTCAAAATGCTTCAAAGCAGCACTCCATCAGAGGATGAATTCAAAGTAACTCCCAAAAAGATTCCTTTATCAAAACAAGCAAAGAATAAGACCGCACCCACTAAATCCAAGACCAAAGCCCTTGCACAGGCCAAGAAGGAAAATGGAAAGAGAGCTGTCACTAAAGTTCCTAGAAAAGTTTCTTCAGGAACCCCAAAGAAAGTAATATCTCCCAAGAAGAAGACTACAGTTTCCCCAGTCAAGAAAACAAAACCTGTAAGGCAAGAAACAAATACCAAGTCACCAGTTAAGTCGCCCAAGACAGGATCACCAAGGAAATCCTCTACCAAAATAGCCACGCCGAAGAAGACACCACAGAAGAGGGGGAGAACATCACCACTTAAAACACCAAAGTCTAAGGTGTGTAGAAATACTTTTATCTTGTTTCAGTTGACACAGACTCAAACTCTTCATTCCTTAACCTGAAATTGGTAACATAGTCTTAGCCTTGGGCACTTCCTCGAGGCCCTGATCCTTCAAAAACAATTTCAAGAGCTCATGGAAGATTCTGAAAGATTGAAAGGGAAGAGCCCCTACACCCATTACTACAATCAGTGCGCTCAATTACTTCCCTAGCATTTACCTGTGGTATTGTCCTACATGTATTGTAGGTTTTGGGGAACATATACAATTTGCGGTAATAAAAGAACAATCTTGGGTTTCTTGGGGTGCCCAACTAGTCATGCAAAATAAGATTTGTAACAAAACTTTGATTGACGAAAGTAACAGATACTATTTATAATGGCTTCAAGCCTTCAAATTTTTTTGCATGGCATTGGAGGATACTTGCCCTAGCGTGGAAAGACACATACAGTACATTGCGATTGAAAGTTAACACCAAAATGGGAAATTTTTTTCACATTTCTTCTCTTCCACGGGAATTCCTTTGCACTTCACAAATTATGAAAAAGTGTGCCAAAAGTGGGAAAATATTTTCACACCTTTTCACACAAGTGGGAAAAGATTTCTCACAATTTTTCCTACAAATGGGAAAATATTTTCACAGATTTTCCCACAATTGAGAAAAGATTTTCGCTCTTTTTCTCACAAGTGGGAAAAGATTTTCACAGATTTTCTCTGGTAGTGGGGGAATACATGTACATGTACATGTAATTTTGCAAGCTTTCTTCATTGAGTAGTATTTGTGCATGTACATGTAGACATCAGGAAGTTGTTCTCTGTGGTTTCAAACATGCTCATCTCTGAATATGGAAAAGGGAGGAAAATCAGTCTGAGAGAAAAGTTTTTCAATTCTCAGGAATATTCAGATTACTTGATGAACACAGCATTAAAATTTCAACGCAGTATATTTCTCGGTTTTGAGCAAAATACAATGCGAGAGGCGATATCAAAGCTGGCTGTGGTGGAGGTTGGAGACAAGCACTGAACACCGAACAGCTGAATTACAGTAGATTCCCGTTATAGCGCTCTCGTAAGTTAAATTAACCCACTTGGATGGATGCTCAACATATGCACCGCATATGTGCACATTTACATGTACATGTATCCACATGCTGTCATGTATGTGAATTACGTTTACCTGTATTGGCAGATGTATGTACCGTGATTTTGCAATAAATGCCTTGTATCCGGTTATCTCAACGTTTTCGTGACGCAGATCAAAAAATATTACCAAATCTCTTCAAAAACCGCCACGGGACCTCGTGCATGCCGCACCGCATCATGAAGCACACACTCATGACACTGCACCTACTGCAACATCCTGACTGCTACTGCATGCCCATTCATGGACACTACAATCGCTGACTTTTTCAATGACCATGTGACCACAGAAAGTGACATGTCATCAGAAACCCAAGTGAAAACAGACCCAATATGTCACACCGAACACAATCGGCGAAAAGACGAGATTTGCTACATGAAGATACTTGTACAATTTAAGCAGTTGATTTTATTTGTCAATCAAAAGAAACCTTTGGGTAACAAAATACTACATGTAGTATTTCATTGTTGATGTTTTGTGTGCCAAACTACACCACGAGAATAAATAAAAAGTGAGCAAATAACCCGACCCATGTCGCCACAGCAGAGCAAGTTAAGTTTATTGTAATAGTAATACACACATTTCATGTGCTTCATGACTGCGGGACTCCCGTTTAATCACTCAACATCCAGACAACTTTTTAAACATTTATTCTCCGACATTGACAAGTGTTTATTTATGGTAATCCGAGAAAACAACTGTACCACGCGGGCGCCGCTCAACGTGGTGAGCACATCCCTACCGGTAGTTGTTGCTGCAAGCCATCTTACTTGTTTTGAACAGTTTACCAGATAAGATACTCATAATTGGCCATCCTCATCACAGTGGAAGTGAAAAGTTTCTGTCAGCACATCTGTACTTGACTCAGCAAATTTTGTACTGTACTTGTGATTTTTTTTATTTAGGTTGTTTGAAGTAATATGTATGCATGTGTGGATCAATATTTCAAGTATCTTAATTTTCGGAATTTAAGCCACCTGGTGTATAAGGTGCAGCCCTTAAAAATTGGCAAATCAAGATTTAAAGTTAGCATATAAGCTGCACCGGCATATAAGCTGCTCTGCAGTGCTGATGATCCAACCATGACGGTGACTGTGCTGCGTGCTGAAACACCAATATAATATGTACAGTACATCAACTACCAGTGTACAATGTATGTGTGATCCTAATGAAGGTATAAAGCAAAATGTGAACGTGTGTCACCATAAAAAGTGAATTTTAAGTCCTCAAATTTAACATTTTTTGGCAGGCTGGATGGTAGTCCTGCATGGTGCACAAACTTGTGCCTTTTTTCCCAGCAGCTAGTAAGTTATGCAGTTGGGGACGTATCACTGTGAAAGCACAAACCCTGTTTTCAGGCAAGCCTGACTGCTGCTGCAGACCCATTCATGGACAATCCAATCGCTTTACTTTTTCCAATAACCACGTTACCACAGAAAGTGTTGTCATCAGAAAACCCAAGTGAAAAACAAACAATTCTGTGGCATGTCATGCTGAACACGATTGGTGAAAAGATGGAAGATCGGCTACACAAAGGTACACCACTGAAGCAGTGGATTTTTATTTAACGGTAGAAAGAAGTCTTTAGGTTACAACAGTAAAAAAAATCTTAGTAAGGATTATTCATCTGCAAAAGTACACCATGAGATTGAGTAAAAAGTAGGAAAATAATCACTTAAAAATGTTGCCATGGGGCAAGTGAAGTGTAAGATTACATATATATTTTATGTATGTGTTTCGTGACTCCATGACTCGGGGAATTCCATTAATAACTTGAAATCTGTACAACTTATTTTATTTGTTCTCCGAGATTCAAGTTTTTAGACGTAAATGGCAACCAACAAAAATATGACTGCATTACCTGCACGTGGTACCGGTATGCGTGGCCCGGGCGTGGCTTTTGTGACTGATTTTATTCAAAGTTTTCCATAGTATAAGCCGTAGAGCATGAGAATCAACATATAAACCGTGGCTTCCATTCCAAACATTACGGAAATATTCATTTTATTTTGTTCCCTTAATGTATTTTTCTCTTGTGTTCACCCTAACCAATTATCTTCTTTATAACATGGCATCATGGATGTAGATGTGACATCACCAAGTGTGATGTTTATCCATTAAAAAAAAGCGATCAGAAAAAATGAGAATGAGGAATAAAAATAAAAACAACACTTGTCTATTACCAGCACTCTGTTTCGGCAGGACAGATTCAAGGCCACCTGGAGACACTCCAGCTCTAAACACTGGCTCTACATTGACAATGCCCTGACCCACCAGTGTGACGTCAAATCTTACTCGAGTGATGCCAAGTTCCCACTGTTACACCAACAACAGACTGGTTCACTGCAAAGTCACATTAACCTTCAAATTTCCTCCCAAGAACAAAAGACCCTCAGACCAAGAAGCTCAAGGTACCAGAGCCATGAAGGGGAACAGGATCCTCAGGTTCATTGATATCAGGGAGAAGCTGGACAAAGAGACAGAATTTGATGTAGACCCAGTCCAACAGTGGAAGTAACTCAAGAAAATACTGTCAGAGGCCTCAACTAAAGTCATTGGCTTCTCAACCAGGAAACATCAGCACCGGTTTGATGAGTCGGACATAGTTAGAAAGGAGCTTCTAGAAAGGAAATTACAAGAGAAGGCCTACATGTACATGTAGGCCTCGAGTGCAAGCGCGACCACAAAGGGGTTTCCCCAATATTCGCAAGAATACCAGTACCACCTCTAGTGCAGGCACATGCCCTCTGTCCCTTTGTGGGGTTGCCATATTGAACGAAGTTTTACCTGTGGCCGGCCCTAGATCCCGTGTGCTCGCGCGAGTGCGTGAAGTGTGCTCTGCGTGGTAGCACGTCATTACAAACAGCATGCACGGACCGTCCTCAGTACAGAGTGATTATCAAAATCGAGGACAAACTTACCGGAATCGACAACGTAGATAAAAATAAACCAGGGCAGATCAAAGCAATTAAATTGGTGCAATGAATTATATGGATGGTATTAAGGCAGCACGCCACTTACATGTAAGTCGGCAAGCAGCTTATGTCAGCATTTTGAAGTCATTATTTTTTTTTAGTCAAGACTGATTGGCGACTTTGCTGGAGTTTACAAATTTATAAATACGTGATCCCTACTTTTTCTGGAGAACAGGTTTTCAAGCTTCTGGCACTTTGAGCCCTCCCGTAAGAAAACATCCTTTTAGCGCTTCTTTATACAATCGTGCGATCACGACAGCAGGATTTTGAGATATAGGCCTAGCGAATGGTCAAAACTTACTCACAACCACTTGCTGCCGGGTGCTTTTTTTAACCGTTATATGTGCTGCCAGGCAGTTTTTTAATATTTTCGTTTTTCAAAAATCTTCAAACATTCATGTCTTTTTTTCTGAATGCCTAAACCCCATAAAATGAGTGTTGCGTGGCGAGTCTAGCACTCACAAGCAACTTCCATTGACCCTTCGGTTTTGCAGCCATGCCGCCCGCTCTGTATAGAGCTCCCATTGTGTCGTGTTACATAAGGGCTCTTTCGGGGTCTTTCGGCATCCCTTTTCTGTTCGCCATAACAGTTCTGACAACGTTGAACTTGTGGTTGTGAAATCGTCGAAACAAATCGGGACTGCTGAAGGCCCTGTTGAGAGCAAGGTTGTAGCCCTTGCCGCTTCGGTCGTTCACCAGGTCCATCACCACTTGTGTAGTTGCTGGGAGGTCTCCTTTACATGTACATTGGCCGGTGTTGATTTTGAAGTTGTAGCAGTACCCGGCGGCACTCCCTGTGCTCTGGCACAACTTGTACATCTTGATGCCGAAGCGGGCCCTCTTTCTGGGGTTGTAGGTAGCGAAGCGGAGACGCCTGTAAAACTTCAACAGGGAGTCGTCGACAGAAATGTCCCGTCGAGGAACATAGACAGTGGCAAACTTCTAAGCAAGATGGTCGACGACTGGGTGCACTTTGAAGAGGCGGTCAGTGCAGTCCTCCGGCATGGCAGTGTTATTGTTGAATTTAAGGGACTGCAGGATGGCAAGGAAGCAATCTTGGGGCATGACAGACAGGAATAGGCTCATCTTCCATAGTGGGTTGGTGGACCAGAAGCTATGAAGGGTGGGGTTGCTTCGCAATGCCCGTCATTATGCAAAGGCCCAGAAAGGCCTTCAATTCTCTAGTGTTCAGATCAGTCCATGATCGCATGTGCGCCGATGTCGTAGCGGGCCTCTGCGCGGCATACCGGTTGGTCTCTTGCACTATCTTGTTGTAGAGAATGTCGTAAAAAAACAGCTCAAAGGCTTCACTGCAGGTCGAGCTGCGATGCAGGCAGGATCAATGGCACCAACATTACCGGTGAAGCCGTACTTCAGTGGTGTACTGTCTTCATCTGTCAACCGGAACGGTGCAGCACTGCTGCTGGTCGACGCGGCGGTATGTGTACGGGACTGTCTCTTGCGCTTGGCGTATACCGCCAAGGGTACATCACTGTCAATTTCTGTACTTGACTGTACTTGAGCAGGTGACGACAGTGATGAAGAAGACGAAGAACCTTCGTCTGAACTGAGATAAAACTCGCTTTCACTGAAAGAACCGGACTCTCTTTCGTCTTCAGTGCAGTGTAGCGATAATCCGCTGTGAGCGCCCGGCAGCGCAAACAATAGCGTTCTGCACAAACAATACACGGATTACCTCCGCTAATTTCAGCGCTCTGCACTGAGAGAATACGGGGATTGATTGCCAGTGCCCAGCAGTTGTCAGCAGCTTGTAATTTTATATCAGGCTTTTATAAGTTCGGTCACCTCGGCTATAAAATAAAGTAACCCATTATTGCCTAAGACGAATTTATGTACCTCCAATGATGGCCTAAACTTTTTAACTGACAGCACTAAACTTTTTAAGAAATGCCCAGCAACTTTTTTTTTTTTTTAGTAAAGTTCCAATTTCGGAGACCCCGGCCACGAATATGAGGTCTATGCCTCCGGTACCGGAGCCCCCGGCTGGAAGTGGTTAACACAATAAGCACTCGCCTGATTTTAGACTTAGTTGTGCAAATTTGCATTCAAAATACGCTGCTCACCGGTGCAGCGCTGATAATGATATCCAAGGCTGCATTTGCACGGTTACTCCCGATAACCGAAGTGTGGATGCGCGCGTGTCACACTCGGGTCAGGAGTATACTCCTCTGTGATGGGGTGCCTACTCTTGCTGACCCAAGGACCCTGCGCTCGGGATAGTACTCGAGTTAGCATGAGTGGCTCGCTCGAATGCAGCCCAAAAGATTGAACTCGGCCCCAATTCGGAATTGCACTGCATGCATTGGCTTACATGGTACACTCTCATTACACATACTGCTGGCTGCAAAGGGGGAAGGGCACGCTGGCCAAGGTGGCTGCGCGATGTGAGTTTTTTGGAAGGGCATCACGGCCAACTTAGAAGGACACGCGGTCCTTCCCCTTGAAGAAAATGGAAGTGTACAAGTTATGTGAACTCACGACTAACCATCCCCGGATGTACCTCGCCCATCTACATGCATCATTCATGGTGTAAACTCGTTAACATTCAGGTGAATTACTCACATGCGCTGCTTAAGCATACAATGTACCTGTACATTGTACATGTTGTACGTAAAACGCCAGGAAAGTCAAAGTGACGGTACCGTTGGGGTCAGATAAATCTGTGTTCTCCATTAAACTAGTCCCCCAAAACGTGTAGGAATCATTCCTACATATGAAATTTCAAGCAGTTTAAGTTTTTTCCCCACTACCAAACCTTTAAAGATTTTTAGTTTGGAACTTTGGACGTAAGTGTCGAAATGGTGATTCTCAAACGTGTCAAAAATTGCGTCGATCATTTGTATAAGAATAAAGCGTGGCTGCACTGTGCATGAGTTGGGTCCACAAGGGCAAAGAACCACTAATCCACATGCATATAAAATTTCTCAAAAATTCGCTTCGCTGCATTAGTGTATTGTCTCTTGTGAGAGCAGCGCAAACTCGAAATAAAGACATTAAAACATTGAATACATACACAGAATATATAAAAACGTGTTTGTGGATCAAATCTGCAGCTAAATCCCTTCTCTATTAATGTTTATTTGACATGTTTACGAACATCACACTCGACAACTGAAGGAAGCCCACAGCCCGATTCAGTGCGCGCACGCAAGCAGCCCAGCCATAAACTGGTTCCTGTCATTCACCTTTGCAATCATAGCATTGTGTCGCGGTTCAGGCACCAGTCAGACGTAAGCCCCTGTGCTTTTCACCTCTGCAGAGTTGTTGATTGCATTGCAGAACAATTAGGGTTTCCTTCCAAAAAGTGGTAGTAAGTAGGCGGAGAAACAGAAGGAATATCACAAAAGTTAGTGACAAAATTTTTTATCTTAAAAAAAGCCTTATATTTCATTCACGATAGCATAAAAGTCCAACCATCCTAAAGTGAAACACACTGTGACATCATCCAAAATGAACCCCATGTTATGTTATGCAACCGCGAACATGGTTTTTTAATGGATAAATAAACAATGCAAATAATCGCGACAAGTTGCGAGTCTTTATTGATAGTCGCCACGACTACAGAAATTCACTAGTCACTCACACCTATTTTTGTCCCTGCATTAATTTCACAAACAACACAGAGAGCAGAACATGGGTCTCTTTGCCAGCTTCATACATGTAGACTTGAACCGTGCAAAGCCTCCAATACCGTGAGCCATGAGGGACTGTAGGAAATCCTTATATACCTTGTCTGCCTGCCCAAGTTCCTTACCATCCTTTGCCAGCTCCGTGAGGGCCATTTAAGGCAGTTAAGTTAGCCAACATCCTGTCAGAAAATGGACGGAATTCACAGAATCAACACTTTGAAATGGAAATGACTGCTTGTAATGGAACATGCAATTTTTTCACTAAGAATGGCTTCAAAAGTAAAGAAAACTTTCCGCAAAGAACCATAAATAGATGCCTACCAAACTCTTTTAAGATACTTGCTTTTAGTGAACAAAATTTAATTGGCTAGAAACATGCTAAACTGCAGCACATCACCAAATGTTTGGGTTTTCTGCGGCAGTACTGATACTTGCAAGAGCAGTGGCATCCGTGAGCTAGCCTCATGTGTGCAGCGGTGGCTGGCATGAGCACAGCGGCATGATACGGTACACACATTGGCCATTCACACGTGCACTCTTCTAGCATTGAGACAAGGCTAGTACAGCATGGCAAAACAATGAAACTGCAGCAGTAAAATAGAAGAAAATTACACATTTCTTGAATTAACCGAAAACTATTAAGCTTGGTGTACTATACATGTAGCTGAATGGGCCCCTGGAAGTGTTCCATGAAGAGCTAAGTTTTCAGTCACAAACATGCATTTTAAGTCTCGGATTTAATGTTGACTTTCTGAATTTTGGCGCACCACTGCCAAATTAAATGGCTGGTGGATGTCAAACTTTATTGTGATCAATGACAGTTGCATTCAAGACCTACTACAGGTGCACAAAGTCATGTACATGTATGTGACCACTTTACATGTACACTGTATGTTTTGAAATGTAAGTTGATTTAATACATGAGGAATGACACATGAATTGTTCGTTGATTAATCATAGCAAGATTTGATGATTGCTCCGGTGGGAAATCAAGGGGTGGGGGATGCTGTATTTCTTGTGTAGATTTTTTTAAATTATTACAGAAAATTGTTTTAAAAATTGGAACGTTGCAGAGTATATCCAAACAATGTTTGTTTCTTTTCTTTTTTGGGGGGGGGGCTGTATGGTTGGTAAATGGTTTTCATGCAAAGTTTAATTAAAACTTGTCTTCTTTTTCATGCTTACGAAGGTCCCATATAAAATGGAATTTGAATTTCTGAAGCAAAATTCGGGATTTGCCGAAATGGAAAATACACATTTTGAAACAAAAAATCATCGGCTCTAATCAGCAACATAAACCTTGCACTAGTGCAACTGGTGTTTGTATGTAACTTTGCTTATCAACATGCACCAGTACCTATGATTCTATTATTTTAATCAACCCCCTGACATTATGAAACATGTACATGTACTTCCACATCCAGCTCCAAAGGATGTTGAATTGTTTGCTGGGAATGGGAAAAATTTAGAGGAGTGAGGGGGATTTTTTGCATAAATACTCAGGATTAATCCTCAACATTCTTAAGTCGATGTTCTTTGTACTTTAATGGAGGATAAAGTCCCTAATAAAAGACCAACCCATAGAGTGAAACGAATACATTAATTGCTTAAAGGTTTTTCTTGTCTGTTTGAAGACATGGATGCTGTACTGTGGAACTCATCGTAACAAAAATGTAGCTGTAATTAGGCAGTGGTAGCCTCTTCCAGGCATTTCCATAGCTACTGTGTTCTCTGTGATAACATTTTCAAGTCAGTTTTGCACTTCATGTATTTAAACCCATTGCCCTTGAACAGTTCACATTTTACAAAAAAGTTTTCATTCTTTTCCTTTTTTGTAGGAAAAAAAAAATATGGATCTCACATTTTTGAAAAGAAAAATTGTATTTGAATTCTTCATTTCCAGACATCACTAAAACAGATGACTCTCTTTGATGTTGCTGGCAAGAAGTCCAAGACACCAGATTCTCAAGTTCGCTATAAGCTATCAACACCACAAAGTCCCCGTCAACCTCCCATCATTACAAAGTAAGATCTACCGGAGTGCAATTTCAGTATTGTACAGGAAGATTTGCCAGGCTACCCCCAAAGGTTAATACAGGCAAATACAAGTATGTCATTTAAGATGCACCACCTGTAACACTAGAGTACATCATCCACAGGATTTTCCCCAACAAGGATGTAAATTTGCTAAGGTACATGAACATGTACATGCGTACATGCTCAGCAACACCACACCATTGGCCCATGTGACACTGAGCCCAGATAAGAGTCTTTAATGAATGGATCTGTAGGGCATAATGATGTTTGCATTGTTGTCAGTGGCTAGGGCTCTTCCCCTTCTTACACAAATAAGTTGTAGCCACAAAATGCCAGATTTAGACATGGACTGATATTCAAGACGGCAGACTACAAAGGATCATTGGAGATTTGACATGTATGTGTATTGCAAAGGGTGTAAATGTATTTGCCACCAACCCAATAACAACACAAGTCCAGTGTGTTTATTTGATGAAGTCTTTGACTATTAACTTACTTTACACAGACACATACATGTACAAGTACATGTATATTTTGGGACATTCATGTGCATTAAATACTCCTCCAACCTGCATGTGAGAGGGATATTGCAAAGGGTCACCAAGAAGATAACTTTAACCAATATTTGAATGGATATTTCAATGGTAGATTAATTCGGGCCAAAAAGAACAAGGACACAGTGTTATACAGCAAGCTGATGACCAAGGCAGTCAAGGAACTCAACGACAAGCAAATAAAGAACCTGAAGCCTGAGATCAAAGAAGAAGTGACGTCTAAGTATGAGAACTATAAGATGAAACTCAAATGGTGAGTCATTGATTGCTTTGTAGCTCAGACCTCTGGAAGTACTTTACAAGAACTCCTTGGAATTTTGGCTTTAGGAGATTTTTTAATCCAGATATGCAGTTCTGCAGGAAATCTGTGGAACATTTGTTGTAAATCAAATCTATTGAATTTTCCGTGCTTTAAGACTAAGCCTAGTGCACTTTCAAGGTTTCCTTTGCTTCATTTTCAGAATTCTTACCCTGCCTTTGTTCACCTCAATCTTATACATGTACATGTAAGTAAGCCACACAACATCCTATGCAGTAGTTAGAAAGCATCAGTGGACAATTTTTGGTCAGAGTCCCTCTTTTTTTATGACAGGAAGTCCATGACACCTGAGGAGCGAAAAGAGCTGATGCTGCGGAAGCGAGAGGAAAAGAAAAAACAGCGAGAAGAGGAGAAACAGAAGAAGATGGAAGAGGAACGCAAAATGAGATTGGAACAAGCAAAGGTTAGAAAATAAACAATGGGAACAGACTTTTCACATGTCCAGTTGTGTAGTTTGCATTTCACTGTCAAAATTGTTACTTCCCATGGACTTTCAAGGCACAGATCCAGTTTTCCTTTGACATAACAACACATTACAATCTGAAAATTCCTTTATTCTGATTATATTGCAGCGGTACGAAGACCAGGATCTTAAGTTGAAACCTCTCCCAACTCCCAAACTGGTATCCATGCCAGATGGTCTACCCAACACTCTGTTTGGTGACATTGCTATGGTGGTGGAGTTCCTCAACTGCTACTGTGGTCTGCTCATGCCCAATGACCCTTACCCTGTCACTGCAGGTAGGTTGGTGTTTTGGCTACAGATGTAATAAATGCTTGAAATTCCACTGTTCATTCTCTTTCAAGGAGGAAGCAGACAAAATAAATAATGAGTTAGGTGATCTAGAGCATGGTTTTACTCTGTAGCTAGGCAGTTTGGTAGCATATGAATGTTTAGCACATGAATGTGCAGTGCTTGTGACATGGCAGTTGTTTGTAATTACAGAACTTGGTCTAGTAGTGAATAAACATAACAGTATGGTTATCTCTAACCCTGCTACATGCATCAAGGCACACTTACTGGTCCGTGATACCTACTGGCATTAGGCAGTCAACAGCAGCAGCATCATAAACTGCCACTTCTGAGACAGTATGACCTACATGTACATACCCTGTATAATCTTGATTATTGATAGTGTTGTATCCTGTGGTGGGCATGGAAGCTGGAACTCTGAGGCTGTTGGTATGCACGCTGTAATTTCGAAATGAAAGCTGTAGCCTGTGGCTTATACATTGATTCTCCCGCTGAAAAATGTCCCAGCGGCTTAAACTTGGGGCAGCTTATACAGCAACATTTGACGAATGAAATCAGTCACTAAATGCTGCGCCATGTCATGCCATGCCTCAGCGCTGCCCAGCCTGGGCCACCTCCATGGCCAGCAGGCCTGCCCACCACACATGGAAGCAATACGGCACAGTGCTCCAGGCATGGGAAAAGGAAGTCATGTTTTTGTTGGTTGCCATTTACATTGGCTCTAGAGGGATTGAATAGACTGTACTTGCCAGTAACACCTCACAAATCTCATGGTGCGTCTCTTTGTTTTTGTCTTTTACGATTGTGTAATCCATGCTGTTAGTTTACTGGTCATTTGACTCACCCAGCAAGGACACTAATCCAGCCCTCCAAAAGTGGTAATTTCGAGAACTTGGGAAAGTTTAAGTTCAGTAACAATACTCATTTACAGGCTGCTTACACGTGAAGATTGCATACCTAAAAGTGGCGCGGATGCAAACGTTGAGCACTTCGAATTTCTGCCGTGAACGTTTGTGTGTTATTGAAGCAATCACTTTATGTCCAATTTTACAAATGTTGAAATGAAATTAAACTCCAAATATTCTGATTCATAAATGTCAATTTCATATACCCACTACAAAGTTCCAATGATCTTTTGTTTTGTCCTAATTTTCCATTTTTGTTCCAAAGTGCATAATGAACTCTTTTAAAATGTGCCCTAAAACCTTTTTTCCCCCGTTTTTCAATTTTTTAGATTGGTATGTGAGTGGAGGTAATAATAATTTATTAATCATTTGCAGATTTTTGCTAGTTGCAGCTTACATTCCGCGCTGCCTATATTCTGAAAATTATGGTATACTAGGTAGGTGTCCAACAGTGGCAATTAGTGTGTACTGTTATTTTCAGTGAGACCTTCATCCCAAAATAATGCAGGGTTTAAAGTCAAGTGATAATATTCCATGATATTGTTCTGTTGATTTTCTTTGACTTGGACAGATTGTTTAACGAAGGCTTTGGTTGGGGGCAGGGAGGGCTTTGCCTATCTATCTCGTGTTCTGGTCATTCTGCTAAAAACTTTGCTACAAGACAAGATTGCTGAGGTAAATATCGCTGCGATATATTACAATTGCTTTCAGCAAATCTAACCCTCTAAAAGCTGGGAGATTAACGGAAGGTTTTGCAGAGGGAGTTTTCACACCCTGTGCATATTTCCTGGTATCATTACAGAATGTCGTTGGTTATGTCAGGTTTTCATGATTTCTGCTGTTTGAAGCACATTCCAACACTAGTGTGGAAATTTTGTATACCATTCTCAGAAAATGTCAACATTTTAATACAGAATTATATTAAATGCTTCCTACAATCACATGCACAAATACTCATGCAAAGACCCTAATTCAGACCAGAAACAGATATTAACAACAAAACCTTTTGTCCAAACGAATCAAGTACACGTGCAATTGCAGAAATATTGAGGTTTGAATTAGTTTATCCAAATTTGGTTTGCTGAACAGGAGATTGAGAGGAGCAAGAATCCAGTGCTTTACATGTACCTCTGATCAATATTCACTGCCAACCAGTGGCCTACCTTTCACAATTTCATACTTTACATTGACTTCTTCCTTAGGACTACAAAGAACTAAGCATGTCCTTGTCTCAGATCCCAGTCAACATGCATACGGCCTCAGAGCTCTTACGTCTGAGCCTTCGCCTGGATGACCAGGAGAGTGATGACCAAAGCAGCAGCGGTGGCAGTGATGAATTTATCAATGATGATGAAGTGGTAGGTGTGACAACTGTAGATTCATGGACTTGTGGTTGAGAACAGAATCTCGGCCTCTTGGCTTGTCTGTCAAGTACAATGTACCCGAC